CCAGAGTGGGCTCAAAGGTCACTTTCTGTGGTCAAGCTCCACAGAAATTCAACCACTCGCTCCCCTGTGTTTTGGGTCTCCCAGGAGGCCCTTAAGAGTGTGTGCAGTGGGCAGTCCCTATGGGAGGGACCGAGAATAAGCAGGGTGGAGAACACAGCCAGGGCCATGCAAATGTGCAGCGAGGCGTTCTGTCCTGTTACAGTGTGTCTCCCTGCCACCCTCGGTTTTTCCCACCCTCTCAACCTTTCTGCTCCAATAATCCCTCCTCCCTCCGCAGAGCAGTGGGGTGACTGACGGGTCTGCCATCTGCTGCCTTCCCTCATGCTCCAGGTACCCTGTGCAGGAGTAATCTAAACGACTTGGGTAACCGAGATAAGATCCTTGCTGCCATTAAACATTGACAGGCCCCAGTGTGGTGAGTGCTCAGTTGCAGAGAAACTCCTGGACTAGTCCACGGGGAGGCAGGGAGACCACGGCAGCTGGGCCATTAAAAATGAATGGAAACCAACCCTTCTAAGGGGCTATGCCTCTTAAAGTGGCAGTTCTCCTGTTGGCTGGGGAAGATGCCAGGAGGATTCAGAAAAGGCCAACAGGCCCAGGCCCTGCCCAGTATTCAAAGTCTCAGCTATTTGTGCCCTTCACACTCTGTTAGTTGGGTGGAAAGAGAGTGGGTTCTAGAATCAGGCAGATTTGAATTTGAGTCTCAGCTTGACCCTATAGTATGGGTTTAGGCACCCTGAACCTTAGTTTGTTCATCTGTAAAATGGGCTTAATACTTACTCAAAAGGTTATAAGAATGAAGTGAAATAATGCATGTAAGTTGTCTAGTATGGTGTTTGGTCTATTAGAAATAATTACTTAAGGCTAGGCACGGTGGCTCATGCCTGTAATCCCAAGACTCTGGGAGGCGAGGCTTGAGCTCAGGAGTTTGCAACCAGCTTGGGCAACACGGTGAAACCCCACCTCTACAAAAAATACAAAAATTAGCCAAGTGTAGTGGTGCGTGCATGTAGTTTCAGCTACTCGGGAGGCTAAGGTGAGAGGATCACTTGAGCCTAGGAGATGGAGGCTGCAGTGAGCTGAGATCACGCCACTGCACTCCAGCCTGGGCGATATAACCAGACGTTGTATCAAAAATAAATGAATAAATTAAAAATAATAATAATAACTTACAAGTTAGTCCCCCCAGCCAGTTGCAGTGGCTTACACCTATAGTCTCAGCTATTCAGCAGGCTGAGATGAGAGGATCCCTTGAGCCCAAAGTTCGAGGCTACAGTGCATTATTATTCCATCTGTGAATAGTCATTCACTCCAGCTTGGGCAACATAGTGAAACCCCATCTTAAAACAAAACAAACAAAAAATATTAGTCCCCTTCTCCCTTGCCCCTACTTCTCCTGGAAAGGGTGAGTTTCTTCTCAGACCCAAGTCTCCTCAGGAAGATCCTTTCTGGCCTGGTGGGATCTTTTCCCTGTTCTTCTCCTTCCCACAGCTTCCAGAGACCCTGGTCTCATTGTCTATTCCCTTGCCTGCCTTCCTCTGCTAGACTGGAAGCACCCTGAAAACAGATATCTTAGCACCATTGATTTTCCAGTATCGGGTCAATGTCGGGTGTATACCAGCTGCTTGGGGAACGTTGAATTGAACTAAACTGATAAAAGCCTGATAAAACTGATTAAAAAAAGATATATTTGAGACCGATAAGTGGCAGGCAAATGACACAAGATGGAAGGAATGAGGGTAATTTGGCACAGAGAAGGTCATCCAGGCTGTCCAAGCTCACGGCTATCTTAGGTATGGTTAGTCCGATATCCTCACTTTATAATGAAGGGGTCTGAGATCCAGAGAGGCGGTGGCTGAGCGAGAGAGTTCACCAGGCTCCTGACTTCTGGCATCATGCCGGAGAGCTGGGGCTGTGACTGACAGGCTCTGTCCCTCTCCCCTGTAAGCAGGGCAGGATGATCCTCCCAGGCCAGGTGCATGGTGGCTTACTCCCAGCTCCCCAGAGTCAGTGCAGGGGGAGCCTAAACCCAGAAAGCTCTTGTGACTTTGAGGCCAGCACCACTGTCCTCGGGGCACCTGGAATTTCTTGTTAGCAGGCTGGATGTGCACTTGACTTTGCAAATTTTGGCTCTAGCCATAGTGTCACATACTTCCTTGACTCTGGGAGGTCAAGCATTAAGTGGGAGTGTTTCTGAAGAAGGAAGAGGATGAGCCACGTCTGACGTGGCCAGCCCTTTCCCTGCAGTGCCTGCTCCAAATAACAAACTGATTCAACCTGTCATTAAGTCATCCTGTTATTATGGACTCTGAACTGGTCCTCCATGGAACCACTTTGCAGCTTCCTCAGTGGAATGGCCTGCAGCAAAGATGGATGGGATCCTTCTCAGTAGGACAGGAGGTGGGACAGCCATCCCAGGGTCCCAGTCAGCTTCTCTGATAAGATCTTTATAGCCTATTCTGTGGGATCATCATGAAGATTAAATAACACAATAAATGTGAAAGTTCTGGGATATAATATAGTTATAATAAATATATGGCAGGACAGGCACTGAATGAGTCAAGCCAGGGACACTTTGCCCAGGTGGGTTTCTTAGTTTGAAAAGGTTCTCAGACCTTCCACTTCCTAATACTCCCAAATGGCTCTCATCACCCCATTGCTGTTGATGAATGGCTCCTGTGGCTTTCATAGTCCACAGGAAGGAACTGAGCATTCTCCTCTCACTGAACCTGGAGTTCAGAGGCCAGGAGCAACATAATATATTATATATAATGTCATATATATTATATATTGATCATGCCTATTACCCCAGCACTTTGGGAGGCTGAGGTGAGTGGATGGCTTGAGCCCAGGAGTTTGAGACTAGCATGGGCAACATGGTGATACCCCTTCTCTTAAAAAAAAAAAGAAAAGAAAAGAAAAGAAAAGAAAGAAACAAAGGTGTGAGAATCAGGGAGATAATTTCTTTTTCATAATGGTAGAGAAATTAAACTAGGAGGCCTCTTAAGTAAAGTCCTTTCTTATAATAACAATACTGAGCCCTAAGTGTTTTGCACATAGTAACTCATTAATCAAAAACAATCCTATGTGATAGATATTGTTGTAATTTCCACGTTATGGATGAGGAAACTGAAGCACAGCGAATATTAGGTAACTTGTTGAAGATAAGATTTGAACCCAAGCGGTCTAGCACAGCGGCTGGAACCTCCGACCACCCATCCCACAGTTCTGCCTCTATTAGAAGACCACTCTGGAGAGTTTCCTGGAGGAGGAGGAACTCTTGTTACAATAATCAATAATCAATCAAATTTCCAAGGAGATTTCTCTGGACATTTGGAGGGAGATTCAAAGCCCTTCTCCATCCCACTTCTAGGTCTGCTTGCTAAGTCAGGGATAAAGCTACCCTGGATCTTCTGGAACTTTCTGCTCCTTGAGGCAGGAGGGCAGTTGTTTGCCTAGAACATCCCAGCTCAGAGGCTCATTGGCCCCAGAAACGTGGCTGGCATGGAGGTGGGCTGTGCCAGTCAGCTTTCAGACTGGAAGCTTCTGGGTGTGCTTGTCCTCCACCACACCTCTGCAAGGTGAGCCTGGGACTGGGAGGGACAGCCTGCTGAGGACTGAGAGCATGGGACCTTTATGACTGTCCCACTCCTTCTCTGCAAATCATCCTCTAAAAGGCTTCCCAGGGCTTGATTCTGCTGGGTTCTCTGAGCTCCTCTTGCAGGCAGCTGTCTTTCGGTTCACTATTGTGTCCCAGTGAATCCAAAATTAGCTTGATTCACAAGAGAAAATGAGCACAAAACTCCTCTATAGCCAGAGAGCAACGTCTACAAAGTCCTATGTGGTAGAAACAAGGCTTTGCCCCAAGGAGCCATCTGGCTGTGTGCCCTCTCCCCCCCACACACTTCCATTTGGCACACTTATTGTTATCCTGTGCTGTGACGGAACAGAGGTACTGGCCACGGATGCATTGCAGAGGAGCCAGCTTATACTCCCATGGTGCTAGGAAGGAGGCAGAACAGGTAAGACAAGCACACAAACCATGGAAAAAACTGGAGGAAACTTTCCACACTTCTTAAGCAATGGATGCATTTCCCTGTGGTGTAGATTGAGTAAGTAAGCCAAAGGAGACAGGATGGGGTGGATTCAGATGCCCAGGGAGGCAAGTCTTGGTTTGGGGTTTTCAGGAAGGCAGGGCCACTTGTAAAGATGGCAGCTGGTGGTGACCTGGGGTCTGTGGAGGTGGCAGGCAGAAATAGCAACTCGTGTGTCCATGGTGGCACCATTTTCAATGCACCTTCATAACCACATCTCTTTTGATCCTGACAGTCACTCTATAAGCAGTTTGCCACTGTCGTTTTTCAAATGAAAACACTGAGGCTTAGAGGGGTTTCTGAGTAGCTGTGAACTCAGGACTTCACACTCCCGATTCTTCCCTTGGCCTGCAGTTTGCCTGGCGAAGTCATAGGAGATATCTCCATGGCACCGCATCAGCCCTTACAAAGCAGGAAACCTTGATTTCTACAGAGGCTGTTTCCTCCCAGCCTTGCGCAAGGCCCACTGCAGAGACAAAATCATGGTGGCAAAAGTGTGAACGCCAAAGCCACACTGGTAAGAGCCAGTGGCTGGGCAGCTGCAGTCACCCCACCGAGGGTGGACAGGTGTGTCTCAGTGGCAGGCAGAGGCTGGTCACCACAGGGAGGAGGGAGTCTGTGGGCGGCCCAGGGACTGCCCCTCTATGCCCAGGGGAGTGGGTGGAGGCCTGAGGGGAGCCGGTCTGTGCTGAGATTTTGGTCTTCAGAGGTTGGGGTGAGGGGTTGGGGAGGTAAAGCAAGAGTCTCTTATGTTTAAACCAATCAGTGAGAGGACAGCTGTTCTTTGTTTCCATGAGCTCAGCAGAAGAGGAAACGGTTTGCCTGTGTGGTGGGGGAGGAAGGGAGGGCGGGGTTGTAGGTTAGTGCTCTGGCTGTGAGGAAGTGGAACTTGCTACCCAAGGACTTCCCTTTTAGAATGTTTGCTTTCCTACCAGGAAGAGTGGCTTGGCTCTCTGCTGAGGCTCTCAGAGGTTCTCCCAGCCTTGGGAACGCTGATTAAAACCAGTCAGCACAACGTCCCCCTGTGGAGACTGGTATTACCTTGCATCTATGTGTGGAGACAGTGGGCATCCTTTGGCCCGTGCAGCGCAGGGCCGCTCCCCTCCTTTCCTCCTGTCCTCCCTTTTTCCCTAACCTCTCTCTCTCTCTCTCTCTCTCTCTCTCTCTCTCTCTCGGACAGAGTCTGCTCCCTTAAATTCTACTGGGGCCTTTTTCAGGCCTCCATCCCTGGGATTTGCCGGTAGAGGAAAGGGAACCAGCGTTGACTGAGCTCCTACTATGTGCACTTCCTGGGCCTGGCACTGGGATCACAGGATGAATGAATAAGGCATATTTCCTGCCCTGAGGAGGTGTCCATAGGGGAAGTCGGAATTAAGCCACCTCCAGAATTCTGAGGTCAAGGGAACGTCAACAGAACTGTGAACAAAATGCCCAAAGCCATGAAAATCGACAGAGACTTGAAGGGCAGGAATGGGGTAGGAGCTTGTGCTGAGGATGAGAAGGGAGAATTCGCCTGGTGGAAAACTGATAGCTAGGGGCTGTTTTCAAAGTATTTTCACAAACGTTTATTCTCTTGACTCTCACAATAAATGAAGCCAGCCAGAAAGTATTCCCCCTATTTCAGTGATAAGGAAATTGAGGCTCAGAAGGGTGGAGTGGCCCAGGGCAGGGCGAAGCTGGGGTGGAAGCATTGGTCTTGTGCTTCCACACTCATTGCACTTTCTTCCAGGCCAGGCTGAGGTCAGGATGGTAGAAGAGGTGGTGGAGGTGATGAGGTACCAGAGCAACCTCGAAGAAAGGTGAGAAGCAGGGGACCACCAAAGGCAAACCTGGAACACCTGGTGACTCCGGCTAACTCTCCATGTGGTGTCCAAGAGGACTTTTCTGATACTGCTACCACTGCTAATAGTAATAAAAGTTACTATTTAATGTGTTTACTATGTGTTGGGTGTGCAAATATTGTGGAAAGAGTGAACATATGTGCAGAATGCTTAATAAACGTGATCTCTTTTTATCTTCAAAAGAACAATGCAGGCCAGGTGCGGTGGCTCATGCCTATAATTCCAGCACTTTGGGAGGCCAAGGCAGATGGATTGCTTGAGCTCAAGGAGTTGGAGACCAGCCTGGGCAACATGGCAAAACCCCGTCTCTACAAAAAATACCCAAAAAATTAGCCAGGCATGGTGTTACATGCCTGTGGTCCCAGCTACTCCAGAGGTTAAGGTGGGAGAATCGTTTGAGCCCAGGAGGTCAAGGCTGCAGTGAGCTGTGATCCTGCCACTGCACTCCAGCTTGGGAGACAGAGTGAGACCCTGCCACAAAAAAAAAAAAAAAACCAATACGATTAATACTTTTACTTCTATTTTGCAAACAAGGAAATTGAGGCTCAAAGAGGTTGGGAACTTGCCAGAAGACCTACCAGCAAGTGGCACAGCTAAGCTCCCATCTGACCCCAAAGCCCACACCCATAACCACTATGCAGTACTGTCCAGGCAGACACACAAACACTACCCCATTGTTTTTATTCTTCAGCAACTTTGGTATCATCGAGTCCCAGGACACTGGCTCCTGAGGAAGGAAGGCACCTCCAGCAGGCTTTAAAATTCCCAGGCATGAAAAACCATGTTCACCAGCCACCCTGAGGATAAACCTCAGAGACAGGGACTGTGGCCAAGCCTCAGAGACAGGGACATTGGCCAAGGCAAACTTGCCACATCCTTGGCCAATGCCCTGCCAAGGAGGGCCACTAGCTGTTTTTCATGCCTCAAACTTCCATTCTATCGCAGCACCCAGAGCTTGGGGATGGGGTGAGTTTTCCACCCAGACAACTCTCCACCAGGGAGAGACTGGGCCAGGGGAAGCAGAGAGAGGAAGTAGGTCTTAGATAGAGGAGCGAATGTGGGTGGCTAAGCACTGTGGGTGTGAAGGGATGGTTGGGAGGCCCTGGGGACTTTCCCCGGAGGCTGAGATAGCCAATTTACTCCCCAACCCACCACAGGCAGGCACGCACACCCACAATTTCAGGCGAGACGGGGCAGGCCTCTGAGAACAGCACTCCAACAGGATTTATCTGAGTGCACAGCTGGACTCAGAAATCAGAGTGCCCCCCACAATGAAGTGCCCCCGGAAAATGAAGGCTCCATGAATGAGCCCTGAGTTCTCATTGCAGTTTCTCTTCCTTTTCTGTTTTTTTTCTTGGCCTCTGCCTGACAAGAGGCCTCCGGAAACCCTCATTTTTCAGGCTGCTTCTCCATCAGCCCCTAGGCCAGACCTTTTTATTTGACTGGTCTGAGGAAGAGATCGGGAGGCTGCTTGGCTAATGAGAAGCCAGTCCCCTTACAGCAGCACCTCTTCTGAGACTTTCTGGGGGTCTCTGGAAACACAGATGCCAGTTGTTCTTTTTGTTTGCTTGTTTCAGGACAGAAGAGATTGAGTTTCAATAGGAGACGTGATTGTATTTAAACACCCATGGGAAAATCCCTAGGCTCTGCAGTATGTCATATGCGTCTTTGACACCACCAGGCAAAATGCGCAGGCTGTGAAACACATTTGGACGTCCAAAGAGCAGATCCTCCAGAGCACAAATACCTGCGCCCACCCCAGGACAGAAGTGCTCAGGCAGGTGTCACCAGCGCAATCCCTGGCCTCCGACTTCCCCGGCTCCACGCCCCCCATTCACACAGAAGCTCAAAGACAGTCCACGACCTTGGCTGGCCACACTCAGTCCTTGGCTCTGGCCGCCTGGGCAGGGGTTAACCCAGCTAGGTGTGGCCGCTCCCTCCCGCCACCCGCCTCCTCCCTTCTGCGCCGCGTCACTTGTTTTTCTGCTGGGCTTTCCCGCCTCCCGCCGGCCGCTGACGTGGACCGGGGGCGTCACAGCCTCTACCTCGGCCGCGGGGAAGTGCTTCCCTTATATGGGCACAGACTCCGGAGGGGCCGGCAGGGCAGGGGCGCTCGTGGGGAGGGCAACAGCTGCCAGCCATCAAGGGCCAGGCTCTCCTCTCCCAAACAATGCCCAGGCCGGGGCAAAGGTGACCCGCATTTGGAAAAGGGACGCTGGCTTCCCCGTCTCCTCCCGAGAGCCAGAGCCCAGGTGGGCAGCCTTCCCAGACGCTGCTGCTCTGCATCCTCCCTCTGTGGGTTTCTCATGAAATGTGCAGAGCTAGATTGAAATGCAGATGACCAGGTGGCCTTTCATAGATGCACTCTGATAGTCTCTGAATGCTCTGCATCCCAAAGTCAACGGCCGGAAGGCTGTGATGCTAGGCCAGGGTTGGGTGGTAGAAACCACGTCCTCCCTTCTGCCGTGGGGCCTTAAACTTGTCTTATAATTCCTCAGGCCCCAGCTTCCTTCTCCATAAAATATAGAGGATACTGGCCTCGAGCCTAGTAAGGACTAGATGAGTGTTCTGCTTGGTGTAAAACAGCTTTGCGAACTGTAAAGTGCTATTCAGACTTACAGATGGTCACTTGGTGCCACAGAGGAGAAACCTGTTCAGGTGCCCCCTCCAGAACCTGCCTGTCCCGGGCCACACCCGTGTGCTCTGAGAATGCCCTTCGACCCTGTTGAAAAACTTAAGCTGTGTAAATAAAGTCATCCGGAGTCTGCCTCTTGTGTGCATTGTGGCGAGCTGTTTGGGGCCTCTATTAGGAAGCAAGTGGTGAGCATGCTTGAGATTACCCTTCCAGCAGGCAGGGGAACCGCGGGTGAGCGGTCATCGTGCAAACGCCTCGCACTGTACTGGACACCGTGCAGCACATGACTGTCTTCTGTTGGTGCTAGTAAGAACTCTCTCCCTCCAAATCCAGCTCAGCTCAAAACTCCCAGGCCCAACAAGCTATTTCCTGCTGGCACCTTCACTCCAACTCCTTGGTTAATTGTGAATCGTGTGTGTGCAGTGCGGCTCTGCCCATATTCGCCTGTCTACTGGCAGCTTTGATCTGTGTCCTCGATGTGGACACTTCTCCCTCCTTGGGAACTCGGAGTGTCCTGCGGGCAGGAACCATTTCCCCCCAGTCAGAATGAAGAGCCCGCACTCTCTGTCTCTGAGGGTGGGGACTAAATCTCCTTCCTTTGATCACTCTAGGACAAAGAGGACAAAAGGTATTCAGATCATGAGGTCAAGTGATTGATTTGTGACCCATATGTAAATGGCAGTGAGCCATAGGGCCAGCCAGACATGGTAAATTTCTGCAGGATTTTCCTCCCCACTCACTGTCTTCAATGAGCCCCATGGAACCCCCTCTCAGGGAGGACTGTGCTAGGTTGCCTAGAAGTAGACTGCACAGTGGGCAGGCAGGTAACCTCCCTTTGGAGATGGTTGTCCTCATTAAACATCAGGCATTGAAGGTGACACCTAGTTCCATGCTCCCGCTGGGTAAACTGTTTGTCTGCTGTGGCCAACTGCTCTTTAGGCGCTGGCAAGATTGGTTTCATGTTTTATTTGAAGATCGATGAGTGACCCAACAGTCTTCCTCAAAATATTCCAGATTCCCCTGGAAGTGGGGATGGAGGGTGGGGAAGATATTCCTTCTCATCAATGCCTCTGGCTTTGGGATCTCAAGCCAGTTCCATTTAGGAGTAATCCTGCTGAGCCTGAGCACTCACTGTTGTGATCCGTGTCAGCCCTGTCTCTTGCTTCTTCATACGAACTCCTTACAAGGTCTGTACGTGCATCATGGGCGTTAGTGAAGATTGGGGTCTCCTGAGGGGGTTAATTTCACAAAAATGTAAACAGCTCAGAAAGGGAACATTGGGCATTTCTGTTTTTAAACTTCCCTCAGCTTCCTTTCTCACACAGGCTCTAGGCCCTCCCAACACCATTTTAAGGTTACTCAATCCCCTTTTTTTTTTGCTCCTCTCTGTCAGGAACAAAAATATAGATTCCTCTTGTTTTCTTCTGCGGAGTATTTCAGCTCTAATCCCCACCCACACCTCTGAACGTGAAGAATTCAACAAGATAGGTCCAAAGCTTCTGAGTGTGTAAGTTCTTAGGCAAAGAGCCACTTTTTTTTTTTTTTTTTTTTTTTTGAGATGGAGTTTCGCTCTTGTTGCCCAGGCTGGAGTGCAATGGCACGATCTCGGCTCCCTGCAACCTCCACCTCCTAGGTTCAAGCGATTCTTCTGCTTCAGCCTCCCGAATAGCTGGGATTACAGGCAAACACCACCATGCCCTGATAATTTTGTAATTTTAGTAGAGACAGGGTTTCTCCATGTTGATCAGGCTGGTCTTGAACTTCTGACCTCAGATGATCTACCCGCCTCAGCCTCCCAAAGTGCTGGGATTACAGGTGTGAGCCACCGCACCCAGCAGAGCCGCTGTTTTTAAGCCTGGCAGGTCAGGTTGGAGGATCATGATGGTGGTCTTCCTGGACTTATGCAATGTTTTTACATAAGGATATTGACTTACAATAGATTCCTCTGAATTCAAATGGTAGGAGACAGAGAGTTGTTATCTTTCTAGGAGCTTACTCATTCCCACTGAAATAATCATTCTGTTACATGTTTGGGAGCTCAATCGTCTCAAAGCCCTCTTAGACATACTTCATAACCTTCCTGTCTCCATTCACCTCAAGAGTTTTTGCCATGGGTTCCACCTTGCTTCTACATAACTCTAATGCTGCACGGAGGCAGCTGAAACCACCTGGGGCCACCTGACTGTTTGACCGAGCGAGGCTCAACCCCTGACCTCAGAGAGTTCCTGAGCCAAGAGGGAAGGAAGGAAACCCTGAAATAAGGATCGAAAGAAATGTAGAGATGATATTGATTGTTACTATCCCAGCCATTATCCTGATTACTTCTGTTGTCGTTATGGGCTCTTATTAAAAGTAAACCCAATTGAGGAAGATACTAAATGCCAGCTGAGAACAACTTCAGATTCCTTGGCTCCAATATTCCAATATAGGGATTCATATCATAAATTTCTTCTTGAGGAATGTGTGGATGGAACGGGCTGGTGGGGGTGGGTTTTAACAGGCTAACTTGAATGCTTTCTTATATTTCACAATGAAAACTATATAATG